TAATCTTGTACTTCGAAGTACAAAATATACAGTTAGAATAAAACCGGTTGATCGGATAAAATCGGTTTTATTATAACCGGTTAATCGGTTTGCCAAAATCCTGACTCGGTTATAAATTCAAAACGATTAAACCCGGTTATAAATCCAATTACGATGACCAGTTCTTACCTCTAGTTCCTTAAGAATAATATTTTTTTATCGTTCTTTTGTAAAAATTCATTATCGTTCCTTAAGATTGATTTTTTCATCGTTCTTTTGAAATAATTCAATTATCATTTCAAAAAAAATAATATTTTATCATCACTCTTTTGAAATGATTCAATTATCGTTCCTTAAAAATGATATTTATTCATCATTCTTTTTGGAACAATTCAATTATCGTTCCTTAAGAATAATATTCTTTCATCATTTTTTTGAAATGATATTTTTTCATAAGGATATCCACAGATTATTTATACAAATTTATTTATCTATAGACATTATCTGAAGTAGTAAAATGAGTATCCACAATCTGTTATCTGTACAGATACATAAATTACAGATATACGGATCTAAACTCTATAAATAATAATAAAAATTGCTATAAATAGTTTAATGAAAGATTTATTAACATCAAAAATTAGCAAACAGCAGAAAGTCATATTAGAATAAAGTATGCGATTAAGAAAATTAAAGCATTATGTTAAAGCACAAACAAAACCTGTAGTAAAGAAAAAAAATTACTAGAAGAAGGAATTGTAAAAAAATGATATCCAAAAAGACTATTTGCAAAAAAAATTCAGATTTATAAGATAATATTCATGATTACATTGAGTTCAGAACTACCCATATCAAAAGAAGAAAAGAAATTATTAAAGTTTATATAGTGGAAGCACTTACACAAATCACTTGAAGAAAATATAATATATACTTATTTCACTAATATTTGTCAACTTATCTTAAATCCTATTACCTAAATATTTTTACTACATATTGTCATCATCATCTAGTGAAAGTTGGCTTTGCTTCTATAGCAAAAATAAAAATGAAATCACATTTAAATAAATTTTATTGTCTAACTTCTATTAAAGCCGTAAGAGTATTTGCTAAAATTTTTGCTGATAAGGCAATTATTATTTTCAAGATGACAAAGTAAAAGTCAGATTAGACATTTCTGCAGTTAGTCATAAATTTAAAATCATCCAAACTGTTAATGAATTAATTACTATTGAAGATTATGATTTTCCAGTTAGTTTAAGAATAAAACTTATACCTTCTGTTTATCTGATCATTAATCTAACTGATTTGAGTAACACATTGTGAATTAGTCAGCTTTTCTTATTTATTAGACCAGAATATTTTATTGAAACACTATTAACAACTCATATTGCAGATTTAAAAAACATAGTTTTAAGTGAAGAGTTTTCCATTATCCTAAAAAAAGAAGAAAAGTTAGATCTATCTGGATTCTTCTTATTGATAGTAGATCCAATGAAAATCCATAGTATATGAAGAATATTATTCAATATACTCATCTTTTTCAAGCTCTCAACCTGGATTATTTGACTATTTGTAATCATTCTTTAAGTCAAAATGCGTATAATCTGATAGAATGTAGTATAGCTTCTTATCTGCAAAGCTTGCTAGCATCACTTTACATGTGAAGAAGTTTAGATTACACCTAAATAGTTAAGAAAATGTTGTAAACAAAGAATTAGCATGCCAGAATTTTGAATACTTGGGAAAAAACTATATGATATAAAAAAAAGGATATATATATAGAAAGTCTGTGAAGGTAGAAAATGTTAACCTTAAGAGATAGATATCCATTCAATAAACCTGAACTTAGAGGTTAGAACTGGCCCAAAAATCCTTAACCAGTTAATAACCGGTTAAAAATTTCTTTACCTGGTTAATTAACCGGTTAAATTTAACTCAAGCCGGCACTATAAATTTGGGCAAAACTAGCAAATTTTGTAATTTTTATAATTGCAAAAAAATTTTAATTTTGCCTGAAAATTAAATTTCAGTCAGAGTTAATATTAGTTATTTTAATTAGTTAAAAAATCTTTAACTGGTTAACAAGATAAACGTCTTAATTAGTTAATTAACTGGTTAAAAATTAACCAGTTCCAACCTTTATCTGAACTTTTGATATTGTAGAAGTAGATTGAGAATTATATACAGATTTATCACTACTCATTAGACATAAGAAAATGCAAAAATCGTGAATGTTGTAATAAATATTGAACTTCAAATGTTATTATTTTTTAAATTAGAATAATGGATTTCTCCTCAACTATAAAAGAAAAAGATAATTATTTTATCAACCCAATTCATACTCTTCAATATCACAATAAATTCAAAATTCTAAAATATAATAGTTGTTACCTTTAATTTTCACAAAAACTTTATCAGCATTTATTGCAACATATACAAATAATACTTTTTAATCCTTAAGTTTATAAATGAATATAAGCAAATGTATATTTTGAATATTGTAAATAGAAGAGAACTCAGAAATAAATTAGTGAGACAGAAGTAGATTATGAGTTCAATCAGATAAAGATTAATGGTTTTTACTTGAAAATTGTAGTTTATTAATTTTATAATAGTTATGATAATATCATTAAATTTGGTAATTATATGGAAAGTAGTCAGTAAAAAATGTGAAAATACAAATTTTGGTCAAAATTTATATTATTAGACCACTTGACTGATCACAGTCATGTGTACAAAATTAGCTTAATAATTAAAAATAACAAAAATTTTGGATTTCCACCTTTTCTACTGACCGCTTCCTATATAATATTACTAATAAATTAGACTAACAGCTAGGATTCTGCAATTCAATTGATATTTGAATATTTGATTTGAAAATCAAATCAAATACAAATTCAAATTTATATTTGACTTAATTCGATCAAATTCAAATCAAAGAATGATTTATTTGATCAAATTCAAATTAATGTTTGATTTAATTCGATCAAATTCAAATCAAATATTCAAATATTTAATTTGATTCGAATCAATAGTAAAGCTATCTCCAAAGCTTCAGGAGTGACTCTTACTAAGAAAACTATAGTAAAAAGTGCCTTTACAGCTTTGGAAATGCCTTTTTTATTAAGAAAACATAGTAAAAAATGCCTTCACAGTTTTGAAACATTATTTTACTAAAAAAACATAGTAAAAAATGCTTCTGCAACTTTAGAGATATTTTTTACTAAGAAATTTAGTAAAAAACATGTTCACAGCTTTGGAAACATTTTTTTACTAATAAAATGATTATAAAGTTAAGATAACAGTTATTATTAAGTTTTCTTAATAAAACTGAAGCTGCAATAATGGTTATTATCAAGTTTTTTTTAGTAAAACTGAAGTCACAATAGCAGTAATTACCAGTAAACTGAAATCACAATGGTGGTTATTACTAAGTTTTCTTAGTAAAACTGAGACTACAGAATTATTTTATTAAGATTAATAGTAAAAATCCACCTGTTACTAAACTTATTTTATAAAAGCTATCTTTGAAATTTTTTAGTGCAATTACTAATAATTTTCTTAATTAAAATTTTATAATAATTTAATTTTAATATATCATTGCAAAAATTAAAAATTTTTATATTTGATTTGATTTGATTCAATTTTGAGATACCTTACTAATAGCTAATAAATCACTAATAATTAAATAATATAGGAGGCGGTCAGTAGAAAAGGAAAAATCCAAAAATTTTGTTAATTTTTATTATTAAGCCAAATTTGTGTACATAATCGAGATTAACCAAGTGGTTTAATAATATAAATTTTAACTAAATTTAGATTTTCCCCTTTCTACTGACCGCTGTAGAGTCAACAATTATATTATTTAAGACGCAGCAATACAAAAGAAAATGATCAACAATATTCAGTAAAAAGTCACAAGAAAAAGTCATATGATAAAAGAAAAATAATCATTTTATTAAGAGAAAGAATAATACTCGGATAAATTACAGACCGAAAAGGAAGATTATACAAACACAGATAAATTACGGAAGAAAATAAGTCAGATAAATTAGTTACTGAAAGAAAAAGGATAATTAATTAACCGAATGGAGGGTCAAGAAAAAAGGATAATTAATCAACCGGACGGAGGAGGGTCTTATAAAAAGACAAAAATATTTGAAAATAACAAATTGAAGAAGTTACACAAGATGCAAGAAGGTTACACAAAAGATACACTCGTTAGGAATAACAAACTAGACCACATAGAAGCTTGTGTAATATAAAGGTTACACATGATATCATAAACGAAACAGAAATCAGAAGAAGAACGGATCTTAGTAGTAATACGAAGTACGGAAGAAAGACAGAAGTATGAAAAAGTAAGAAGGAAAATTTATTAATATCTTAAGGAAAACAAGAAAGAATTAATATAACGGAAGTAAAAGTAATATAACGAATTCGGAAGTAAGTAAGAATTAATACAACGGAATGAAATTAAATAGTAAACAGTAAACCATAAATAATAAACAAATACACAAATACGGAGTTAGTAATGAACAATGGAAAATTAGGAATAATAGTAAATATAGAAATCATATATAGAAAATCATGTAGTAAAAATCA